GTCCTGTGAGCAAAAATTCTACTTTGTGAGCTACGGGCATTAAAGTTGTGAGCATGTGCTTTGGCTATTGGTCCAAACAGATGGAGGATGAGATGCCATTTCCAGAGCTTGGCTCTGCACTGCTTTCATTCCCAGTGGGAGGAGAAGGGAGAGGGAGGCAGCAATAGAAACTTAGTAGCAGAAGGCCACACTAGATGTCTGCATTTAATGGCCCTTTGACCCTGCTTGGCCCCCAAACATACTTCCTACGTAAGATGACAACATAAGGAAGACCTACTCATTTGCATCTGAAGAAATGGGCTCTAATCACCAAAAGTTTAAAATAAAAGAATAAAATTCTGTTAGCCTTTAAGATACCTCAACGGTGGTGGAAAGTGCCAACAGGTTGCAGCTGACTTATGGTGACCATGCAGAGTTTTCCAGGCAAAATACGAACAGAGGTGGTTTGCCATTGCCTGCCTCTGTATAGCAACCCTGGACTTCGTAGTGGTCTCCCATCCAAGTACTAACCAGGGCTGACACTGCTGAGCTTCTGGGACTGGATGAGATCTAGCTGGCCTGGGTCATTGAGGACCCTCTAATTCACCAACAGAAGAAGGGGCAGGCATACACATGGCAAGTCCTTTGTTTCCCATATTTATTTAGACAGTTGCATCCTCAGCTGTAGCCAGTTTGGTGTAGCGGTTAGAAGCACGGATTCTAATCTGGGAGAACCAGGTTTGATTCCCCACTCCTCCACATGCAGCTGCTGGTGTGACCTTGGGTCAGTGACAAGTTCATTCAGAGCTGTTCTCTCATGGGGAGTTCTCTCAGCCCCACCTACCTCACAGGGTGTCTGCTGTGGGGAGGGGTAGAGAAAGAAGATTGTAAGCTGCTCTGAGACTCCTTTGGGTAGTGAAGGGCAGGGCAGAAATCCAATCTCTTCTTCTCCCCCCCCCCAAATAATCTCAAGGAAGATTAAGTTTCCCTGCATGGAGCTGTCAACCTTTCCTTTGGTGCTGATTTTACAGTGGCCATCTGACACATAATTACTTGGCAGTGACTCAAAAGAACGCATTAAAAAAGCTGGCTCAATAAAGCAGTCAACCTTTTCCCCAGAAGCTTCTGTGGAGCATAACTCAAAATAAAATTACTTTTTTTAAAAAAACCCAAAGGATTTGAAGGCCCCCGAACTCCAAGGTCTGCATGTAAAATACATCCACCCAGCTGAGCTATATCATATTTTTCTCCCTCTTTATCCAATGACTGACCTCTCTGCTGATCTTCTGTTCTTGCCCATGCTGCCTCTTTTTCTCAGAATCGTAAAAAGGAGACACAGTACGTAACGGAATGAGCAACTGGCATATCTTCTCATGAACGCTGACCCAGTCAGCACTTTGATGCTCTACTTCACTGTGAGAAGAAAGTGGTTATTAGCAGTACGAACTGTAAGGCATAGATTAATTCTCACCTGTCCCTTGAGCCTAGAAACAACATGTGTTATTTTTTACTTATTTGTTGTATTCGCCCATTCCCCAATGGGGCTCAGAGTGGTGAACAACAAACAAAAATAATATCATAAAGTCTAAAACGGATAAAAGTCACAATGGAATTCCATAAAAACAGAATTCCTTAATTCCATAGTAGCAATACGGTTTTAAAAAACAGATGGCGATCAAAGTTGCAATTGTGCTACCACAAGCAAGTTCTTATCCGCTGAGCGTAATGCTACCCAAGGGATATACCAGGAAAGGCAACCCCAAAGATATGCAGGTCCCAGACCATTAAAGGCCTTAAAGACAAACACTAAAACCTTGAACCTGAACTGGAGCTCAACTGGTAACCAGTGCAGCTCATGCAGCATAGGTTAGGACTTGCCCTAGGAAGCAAGAGGATTTCCCTGAAGGACTATTGAGGGAAGAGGAGAGAGACTGAGCTACAGCTATTCTGGCTGGAAGGGGAGACAGGCTAGCATCAGTGTTCCCCCTAAGCTGAGTTAGTGTGAGCTAGCTCACAGATTTTTAGCCTCCAGTTCACAGATTTTTGTCTTAGCTCAGGAAGGATGGCTCCAGAGCAAACTAATTTATGCAGCAGCCAAATTGCCCGCTCACAACTTTAATGCCAGTAGTTCACAAAGTAGAATTTTTGCTCACAAGACTCCGCAGCTTAGAGGGAGCACTGACTAGCATATAACTGCTTTTCTTCTTGCTAGGTAGAAGTACAGACTGCCCTAGCAACTAGCTACTGACTTCGAGCCGCTGATTTGTAGGAGGCCCCTAGTGGACTTCGCCCTTTAAAACAACAACACAAATCTACTGCACGTGCTCAGAGGATTTGTCACCGTTCTATGTACTTTTCCAGGGTTTTTTTTATCTCAGTCACTTGATCTACCATATTTACTTGAAAGGAAAACAGCATGGAATGTAAGACCTGTACCCCCATTTTATACACAAAAAGTGTCGAGGTTTGCGCGGTGCTAGCCCACTGCAGAATGTGGGTGAGTATGAGTATCAAACAAGACTTAAGGCCAACTGGCTTAGTGTAAAACTATTTACATTTATTTACACCAGCCTTCACCAAAATATTATACACAGTGACAAAATGCTCCGCAGACACCAGGTTTTCCATCAGGAAAAAGTATGCTGTACATCACTACATTTATACAAGCATTGACCAATCACATTACAATGCGGAGTCATGATGATCCTGTTAATTAGTGCTGCACTGAACTGCACAGAACCGGTTGGAGTGTCAGAACTGTCACTCTAAGCTTAGAAAATTTTTATGTTGAATGTGAATGTTTATATCCTGAATAAAACTTTGGTACCAAAAAAAAAAAAGAAGAACGGTCACTCTAAGCTGTCAGCTCCTGTCAAATAGATTAACCTCATCTACAGCCAGACTTACAGAAACACATGTATGTTGACAAAAAGTTGTTTATTACCAGACATAACTGTAACTTGTTCACATTTAAGACAATTCTTCTTTTCCTAATGGCACACTTTGAAAAGTGCCTCGTCTTGCATTTCAGTAAATACAGTCATAGTAAACTGGCTGGTCCCTGTGCAGATCTATTTATTTTATTTATAGCCTGACTTTCTTATTGCAACTCAAGGCGGGTTGCATGGTCTCAGACAATCCAATCTGACAGCGTGAGACGTCTAACAACAATCCAATAGCATTTAAAAAACCTGCAGTCCAACAGCATGGGTCATCAATAAGCAATGCAACAGGATTACAAATTAGAAACAGTGCAAAAAAGTATCAGATACAATATGTCAAACAATGCAGAAAATGGAATTACAAAAACAGGAAACAATGTAGTAAAAGCAGGATAATACCAACAATAATTAGATAACATGTCCCACAGTCCTGATGAATAAAAGGCACTCAGGGGTCTCTACATACTCAGGGGACTTGCCAGACATGTAGAAAAATACAGTTTTATAAAATAACCAAAAAACTGGATTGAACACACTTGAAGTTGCCTTATGCTGAATCAGATCCTTGGCCCATCAAGGTCAGTACTGTCTACTCAAACTGGCAGCAGCTCTCCAGGGTCTCAGGTGGAGGTCTTTCCCATCACCCATGACCTGATCCTTTTAGTTGGAAATGCCAAGGATTGACTAACTGATAAGGACGGGTCACATTTTAACTGTTTTTAAAGTTGCAGTTGGGCAGTACAGATGTCAGTAACCTTTTTTTAAAAGCCACTTATTCAGAAGTCACACTAATGATCATAACGAGCAGCATTTGTAGACCACTTTCCAGAAACTACTTTATAACAGCCCTGTAAGGTAGGTCAGTGCCACCACCACCACCCAAATTACAGATAGGGGCTTTGGAAAAAAGGCTTATTTTGTTCAGCAGAGCTCATACTTTGGAAAGTGTCAGATAAAGGTAAAGGTTTCCCTTGCTCTAAAGCCAGCCGTATCTGACTCTAGGGTTGCGGTGCTCATCTCCGTTTCAAAGCCAAAGAGCCAGCACCGTCTGAAGATGTTTCCTTGGTCATGTGGCCAGCATGACTAAATGCTGAGTTACCTTCCCACCAAAGCAGTACCTGTTTATCTACTTGCGATTTCTTGCTTTCAAACTGCTAGCTGGGACCAGAGACGGGAGCTCACTCTGTCATGCGGCACTCTAGGGGTCTCGAACTGCAAACCTACAGGCCTTCTGGTCTTAACCTCTGAGCCACTGCGGCCCCCGAACTGAGCCGTTTCCTTAAACAAGAGCTCAGCGGGGCTGAGGAAGGGGACAAAAGACTGCTGCTCGAAGCAGGTGCTGGGTATTATTATGGATGGTGCGATGGGGACTGCGGAGCTGGGTCTGCCTCTCCAGCCCAATCTATGCCTGTGGTAGGAGGATGGACTTTGGGGAGGAGGAGACAGAGTTCAGTGGGGGTGCGAGGCCATCGAGTCCCTTCTCTCCAGGGGAACTGATCCCTGAAGTCTGGAAGTCACCTGTAATTCCGGGAGACCTCCAGGCCCCGCCTAGAGGTTGGCAACCCCCACTCTTACGCACCAGTAGAAGGTGACGCCGCAGCCACCACAACGCACCGTGGCCGGCGCTCGGCACAACTCGCAAAAGACCTTCCGCCCGCGAGGCAGCGCCAGGGGCACGACCTGTTCCGTCTGCATCTCGCGTTCCCCCGGTTGCTAAGGACGCGGTTGCTAGGGCAGCCGAAAGGGCTGGAGTTCCGGTGAGTCGGTCAGGGAGGGGAAAAGGAAGAATACCACAGAATGACCTTCCGGTAAAACTTGTGACCGCTGTTGGCTGTGAGGATCCATAGTGTCGCTCTAGGCCTCGCCATCTCTGTGGTGAAACGTCTCATGTGCACTTGGGCCCAGGCCAGAAAGGGAGTGTGTGTGTGTGTGGGGGGGAGAGGCAGAGAACCTACCAAGCGCAAGGCATTGGTAACCGTCAGTCCTCTGCCCCCACTAACGACGAACAGGCATAGGCCGCGAATGTCGATGGGAGGCGGGACTTCCGCAACCCCCATCGCGGAACCGGAAGTACTAGCTGCTGAAAGCGTGGGACACGATCCGGCATGGCGGAGCTGCTGCCTCCGACGCCAGCCGAGACCGAAGTGGAGCGCCGGGTGCGGGCCTGGGCGGAGGTGCAGCGGGCGCGGGGGAAGCGCGTGGCGCTGGTGACGTCGGGCGGGACGCAGGTGCCTCTGGAGGCGCGCGCTGTCCGCTTCCTGGAGAACTTTAGCAGCGGGCGCCGCGGGGCGGCCTCGGCCGAGCGGCTGGTGCAGGCCGGCTATGGCGTGTGCTTCCTGCACCGCGCGCGCTCCGTCTTCCCCTGGGCGCGCGCCCTGCCCCCCTACGGCTCCTCTCTACTGGACGCCCTGCGGGTGGAAGCCGGCCCCGCCCCACGCGTCACCGCCGACGTCGACGCGTTCCCGGGGCTCGTGCCCGCGCTTCAGGCCTATCGGCGCGCCAAGGATGAGGACGCGCTCTTGCCCGTGGAGTTCAGCGGCCTGGGAGAGTATCTGGGGCTGCTGCGGGCGGCGGCCCGGGCCCTCTCGCCGCTGGGTAAGGACGCCCCAGGAGGTCGAGGGCTGCGTCCTGGTCAGTTTCTTCCTGGCAGCCACTTTGGTTGAACTGACCGTCTCCCAGGAAATGCATCCTAGTCCTAAGCATGCCTACTAGAAAGTAACGCACTGTTGGTTCTGTGGGTGTCTCGGGCTAGGAAGTGCCCATACTAATGCTCCCTCTAAGCTGTGGAGTCTTGTGAGCAAAAATTCTTCTTTGAGCTACTGGCTGTAAAGTTGTGAGCGAGCGATTTGGCTACTGCATAAATTAGTTTGCTCTGGAGCCGTCCTTCCTGAGCTAAGACACAAATGTGTGAGCCGGAGACTAAAAACCTGTTAGCTCACAGGGGAGGAGGAGACTCACACTAACTCAGCTTAGACGGAATACTGGACATCCCGCTTTCTATCCTGGCTGCCCTCCAAGGCACTCAGGATGGTTTCCCCTTCAGTTTTATCCACAAAAGAACCCTGGGAGGTGGGTCAAGACTGGGCAAGAGTGACAGCTGGTGAGGTAGGGGGTTGAACTCGGATCTCCATGTTGCTTGTCTAACCCTCTGACTCTTACATCAAATGTGTATACACGTGAAACTATATTATACTGAGTCAGAACAAGGTCAGTACTATCTGCTCTTACTGGCGATGAGTCTCACATTAGACATCTTTTATCACCTGCAACCTGATCTCTTCCCCCCCCCCCTTAATGGAGATGCTGGGATTGAACCGAGGACCTTCTGCATGCAAAGCAGAGGCTCTGCTACTGAGCTTTAGTATGGTAAGGCTGAAATCATATGTATGAATAAGCCCCATTGAACATGGTGGGACCTCTAAGGAGATAGACAAAGGCTTGTTGTGTAAATGAACTACAGTATATGTTGCATTCCCCTGATCTGGATAGCCCAGGCTAGACCAGTCTCATCAGATCTCCGAAGCTAAGCAGGGTTAGCTCTGGCTAGTAAATAGATGGGACTCTCATTTGCATATTAAGCGACACACCCCTAATGTAGCCAATCCTCCAAGAGCTTACAGTAGCTCCTGTAAGAAGAGCTCTGTAAGCTCTTGGAGGATTGGCTACATTAGGGGGTGTGGCCTAATATGCAAAGGAGTTCCTGCTACAAAAAGAGCCCTGCATGATGGGAGACCTTGAAGGAATACCAGGGTTGTGACATGGAAGCAGGCAGTGACAAATAACCTCTAAACGTCTTTTGCCTTGGAAACCCTACAGGCTTGCCATAAGTCAGCTGTGACTTAATGATACTTTCCACCACCACATGTTGCATTGCCTCCAAAGTCTCATGAGTGCCCATACACTACTGAAAAGCAAATTAAAGCCCCCCCCCCCTCATTTTGAGTTAGGCTAATTCTCCAGAAATAAAGTATTCTAAAAAAACACCACAAAAGTCTCCCATGTGGTCCCCCTCATAGCTTAGTGTTTGTTCTTTCAGATTCGACTTCCACCTTGAACCACTAGGAAAGCTGGGATGTACATTTTTAATAAACTGGGCCCCCATTTGGTTTGCTCTTTAAACCGCTTCAGGTGAACATGTTTGCAGCTGTGTAGAAGGTGGCCTAAAGTTAAAATAAAAACGGAGAGTCTTTTTATGAGTTTCTGGGACTGTTCATTCAGGCATTGCATTCTCCAACCAATTTCTTCCATGGAGACCATTCACTTTCTCAACCCCTACTAGGTTCCAGTGCCATGTTCTACTTGGCGGCTGCTGTATCGGACTTCTACATCCCTGCTTCAGAGATGCCAGAACACAAGATCCAGTCTGTAGATGGACCACTCCAGGTAACCCTTTGCAGCTTCACCCAGGAACAATACTGGTCTATGAGGATGCCTATAATAGGCATTAGAAGCCAGGAGTCTGTCTTGGGCTTGTCCCTTTACACAGGTGTTGAATTGCCCCTGACAGCTAGCTTTCTTAAGCCGTCCATTCAGCGAGTCTATCTTGCCCCACACATGCTTGGAATTGGAGCTGACTATCAAACTCGCTGTGCATTTTACAGCTCATTCGCAAAAGCAACCGGGGAGTGGGAGAGTGTGAAACCAAAATGCTTTCGTTTTACTAGGTTGCTTTGATGTAGCAGGCATCTTATCACCTCTGAGAACCTTAGCCTCGAGTCTCATCTTTCTATGCTCCCCTTTGTTTTACATGTTGGGGGAATGGCACAGAAAGGAGGGTGGATGGTGGTTACTTTTGGTGGGTGGAATTCCAAGGGGTGATTGGTTCTGAACCTTTTAGGGCCCTTGTTTGAACCCTGTATATCTATTGCTTTTGCACCTTTAACCTCAGTTCTAAGACAGCTGGTGTACAGGCTGGATCCTATCAATGTCTCAATAAACTTATCATTCTTCAGAGTGAGTGTTGTTGGGAACTGATTTACCCAGGAGTTTGACACTGATGGGATGATCCAGCACCTGCCTGCTACATAGTTCTGGTAATAGTGGAAATGCTATAGATGCCCTGGGAGGAGCAGTCTGCCCAACTAACAGAATTTTGTACAGGCTACAGCATGAATGAAAAACGATTGGTGGTTCATACAGATGGGGAAGCCAAAGAGGGAGACCCAGCTGACCCTGTGCTATGGGTCCATTATTTCTCTTTGATTTGGGAAGATGCTTTGTTAGATTTGGCCCTAGATGTTTTAGAGCTTGGTCCTGAGATAAGAGGGGGCTTTGAGAGAGGTTTCAAGTCCCAATAAGACAATTACTCCTTTAAAGACTTAAAGTCTTCGCTAAATTTCTTAGTTTCCCTGGGTTCGATAGTCACAACTAGTGAGATAGTCCATGTAATTCCTGTTTTTTGCAGGCAAGAAATAGAGGCTGACTTCCACAAAAGACATCTGCAGTGACCTAGCTTAGACCTAAAGTATAAAAATGAGTTACTGTGTTCTTTTCTTATTCAGAGCACTGTGGGGACAGGTTAGCCTTTAATTGCTGACTTGGATACAATCGCTTCCTTACTCAGCTCTGGTGAATAAGAAAGGTTTTCTATCATTAATGCACAAAAGCTTACCTAAAGTTGTATTTTTTTTTCAGTGACCACAACAGTGTGTAGTACTGCTTTTATTGTGCTGATTAATATACTGTGCATTATGAATTTTCATCTTGTTGCCTCTTTGGTAGCTGTCTTACGTCTAAGGAGATAAGAATGAATAGAAATATTTTAAATAAATAAATGTAGGAAGGCAGACAAGGAGACATCTTTTTCAAGCTACTAACTTTTGTGGATCCGCTTGCAGAACTGTTGGATTCTCCTTCTATTTCCATCTTGCACATCAGGCTCATCATGCACCCTGGCAATGTCTCTGCTCAGTAGGTTTTCTTCTTTTCAATGCAGATCACGATGAAGATGGTACCAAAAATGCTCTCCCCTTTGGTTAAGGAATGGGCTCCCGAAGCCTTTGTCATTTCCTTCAAATTGGAAACCAACCCGTCCATTTTGGTTGACAAAGCTCGGCAGGCTTTGGAGAAGTACCGCCACCAGGTGGTGGTAGCAAACGTGCTCGACTCCCGAAGGACCTCTGTGATGGTGGTAACCAGGGATTCAGAGATGCAGCTGTCACTGTCTGATGAAGAACTGACCCAAGGTGTGGAAATCGAGGAGAAAATTGTGAGCCACCTTGAGTCTCGGCATACAGCTTTCATGGAGAAACAACCCTTGATTAGGAAAAAAGTGATTTGAGTCCTCAAATTGAAATAGACTTTTAATGATGGTTAAATGGTGATGGAAGTGGAAGATTCCTCTGCTACTGGTAAACAGAGGAAAAGGAAACAATTTGCTGCAGCTCTGCCTAGGATCAAAACGGTGAAAATCTGACATGACTTTCTTTGCACACCTTCATATGCTTGCTGCTCATCAGAGAAAATATATATGTATATAAATAGGAACATTCCAAATTAACAGCTTGTCTCTGTGTGTGTATGCGTATGTTTTTGTGAGCCTGGTGAATCAAAACCTGGTCATTGTCCCCGCTGGCTTTTGGCTGACAGTCTTGCCCAGTCACCACTGTTTGAAGAACATTTTAGCCAGATATGTAGATACACATGAAGCTGCTTGTATGGAATCAGGCCACTGATGTGAGTTCTGACTGACAGCGGCTTTATAGGGTCTCAGGCTGAGGGTTTTCATATCACCTACCACCTGATCCTTCAAAATGGGGATTGAATCTGAAATTTTCTGTATGCTGAGAAGGTTTTCCCAGGCCCATAGCCACGGGGGGTGGGGGTGGATTTGGGTGCAATGCCTCCCACAGATGACCACCGCCCCCACTGGAAAAATTAAAAACTATAATTTTTTTTTAAAATGTGAGATGGACGTGGGGTTTCCAAAATGACCCCAGGCACAGTCAGCTGAGTCTTCTTCCTCTGCTGCGGACGGCCTTGCTCCTCAGCTCCTCTGCCCCACAGGATTTCCCAGCACCCCACCACCCAAAATTTTCTAGCTACGCCCCTGTTCCCATCCCTTCACATTTCGGACTTAGTATCCACAAATCATTCCTGTCTGTGATTTTCTGTTAATGCATCCTGATAACAGGGAAGTACTGCTTATAAAAGTCAAGGGAACGCAGACCTTTCGCCACTACTGGGAGCTCCTAGTAGAAGCAACTGTGTCTAGAAGTAGTGTAGTGGACTAATGGGGCGAATCACATTTTTTAATACTCTCTTCTGCTTAAAATAAAACAAGCCTGTATGAAGAAAGCTGACATTATGGGGAGTGTTATGTGCAAGGAGTTCCATACAGGAGAATATTCAGAAACCTAATTTCCCCCACTTACTATTTATAGTGACACAAATTCAGGACTCTCAACTCTGCTACATTCCAGTTGCCAGTAGCCAGAAGTTGCACAGTCTGCTTACTACTATCTTGTTCGGTACACGTGTACATGTTGCTTCTTTCTTTGGAGATGTTGCATTTCTTTGATGTGCAATGGAGTTCATCTAGTATGCCTGTGTTTCTCAGTAAAGGGTCATGGAGGATGCAGTTTTCCCACACATCCTGGTAATAGATGCAATACATCATCGACCACTCTGTAAACCACAGAAGTGGATGGGTTGCTTAACATCCAGTTGCTTCAGGAAGGAAATGAAATGATACAAAGTATGTGGTCGATGTGTGAGATGAGAGCAGGGGTGTGATGTTTCTGGGTATGTGTATGCTAACTCAGAAGTTGGCCCAATTATTTCAGTGGAACTTGATTTTCTTCATTTATACCCTCTTTTCTCCACCAGTAGGGACTTAAAGTGCCATACAACATTACCTTGGGAGGTAAACTAGGCTGAGTGTGTGACTGGCCCAAGGTCACCTAGGAAGCTTCCATGGCAGAGGGGGGATTCAAACGGGTTTCCCAAATCCTCATCAGGCACTCATGTGCTACAACCAGGCTTGGCTGTCAAGGAAAGTTACAACTTTTAGATTTGATTGTCAACCTCCAGGTGGTGGCTGGAGATCTGCTATTTCAACTGATCTCCAGGCGACGAGATAATTTCACCTGGAGAAAGTGGCCTCTTTGGAAGGTGGACACTATGGCATTACATACCGTTGAAGTCCCTCCCCTCCCCAAAGCCCACCCTCCTCAGCCTTTAGCCTCAAAATCTCCAGGTATTTTATAACCCAGAGTATAATAGCACAAGTATCATACACTTTAGATTCTGATTTTGAATGCAGGCAAGTGGATCTGAAATTGCACAAAACTGGGGTAGCAAAATGCACCAACTCGTCCCCCCCCCCCTCAAGCAATGCAATGCCAAACAGGGATGCTAATAGAGATTATGAGGAGACCAGGCTCTGTTTGATCCCTAGCGCTTCTGTTGGATCTTTGCAGCTTAATTCTGTACATGTTTACTCAGAAGTAAATCCCATTGTGCAGTGGTCCTAACAGATGACAGTAAACTCAAGCCCACCAGTGTTATAGGATCAGGTACTCTCCTCGGATTCAAATGGGGGGCCCAAAGTGGTTTTTAAAAAATATAATTAACATTTTATTAAAAATTAACACATTTCAAATACAAATACGGAAGTGTTTTAAATTGTTCTCCTCTGCTCCATTTTATCTTCGCAACAACGCTGTGAGGCGCCTGCTCTCGTGGAAGCCGGAGGGCGCCCGTGAGTGGCCGGCCCCCCTCATCCCGAGGTGGGGGTCTTTATTACGGGGTGGGTGGGGAGGAGGTGCGGTAACCGGGAGAGGGGCCGCTTCGGAGGCCCCCCCCCCCAGGCGCCTCCCGCGCCTCCCGGCCCAAATCCTTGACCCTGCGCGGATCCCTCCGTCCGTCAGTCTGGCGAGCACGAAAGACTCTGGGGCTCCTTCCGGACTGGCAGCACCCAGTATATTTCAAAATCCAATTTCTTCTTCTTCTTTCAAAAAGGCCAAACCGTTGGCGGAGGAAAAGCACTCGGCACGTGCTCAGAGACCGGGCTACTGGGGCCGAATGCTCACCCGGCCGCCTGCCCGCCTGGCTGCGGGGGAGAGGGTCGGTTGGTCGCCGGGCTCCCGACGGCGGGTCGTAGCGAGGCAGGCGGCGCGATCCCTCCTCCGGGGCGGCGCCGGGCGTCAGCTGACCGGCTGCCTCGGCGGGGAGAGGCCGGCCCAGGGGAGGAGCCGCGGCCGGCCCATCCCCATTGTAGCTCCTGAGTAACTATTCAGACTTGTAAGTCTGTAAAACTAATACAGAGTCTTGTGGCGCCTTAAAAAAAGACGAACAAGATTTCATCCCAATGTAAACTTTTGTTAACCAAACGATGGTGCAGTTATGTGCAGGTTTTCCCTTGTCAATAATTCCAGATGGTAGGGGTCTCTGTCACTCGCAACCAAATAAAACGGGAGCCTCCGATTTAACATTCATTCCGTGCGCCTTGGTGTTTAGTCCTGCCGGCCACATGACCGCGGAAACGTCTTCGGACAGCGCTGGCTCTTCGGCTTGGAAACGGAGATGAGCACCGCAACCCTAGAGTCGGACTCGACTGGCTTTCGAGCAAGGGAACCTTTACCTTTACCAGCATACATTCTCTTGTTAAGTCTTTTGGCGCCAGTGGCCTCGTGTTCTGTTTTACTTGGGAGTAGACTGGAGTTTACTTTTAAGTGAACCCTGCGTATATCTCCAGAAAGGGTGCGTGTGTGTCTTTTATTTTTATGGATTTTATATTCTATACATTATTCCAGCTAAGGGGGCGAGGGGAAAGAAAAAAAAAAACATGCTGCGAGGAGGCGTGGCCATGACTGTTGCCATAGCTCCCAGCGGGCCTCTCGGCGCGTCGCCTGGCTCGGCCTAAATGGCAGGCCTCGTTGCCATGGTTTCCGCGGCCTTGCTTTGGTCCCGAGGAATGATCCTCCCCACTCATGTCACCGAGTCCGTATGGAGGCAGCCCAGCCGGTGAGTCCGTGGTGGTGGTGGGAGACAGGGCGAGGAGAGGTGTCACTCCGCCACCGGTCGTCCCTCTCTGAAGGGGAAAGCGCGGGAGTAATTCCTAGAGGAGACTGAGCACCGTGCTGCGTAAAGAAGACCCCCCCCCCCCCGTGTCCTGGATGAGACGAGAGGGGATCCTCGTCCTAGAGCCCTGTTTCCCACATTGGCCGGCCTGCTTTTGGGAAGTTTACAACTAGGTCAAGAAAGCCGAAGCCTTCCCCCTTGTTTCTCCCCCGCCGTGGTAGAGAGACTGCCTCTGAACGTGGAGGTTCCATCCTCCCTCCCTCGTGGATTATGTTCTTATTACACAGAGAGTGATTAAAATGCGGGATTCGCTGCCAGAGGATGTAGTGATGGCCACAGGCAATGTTCCCTCTGAGCTGTGGAGCCTTGTGAGCAGAAATTCTACTTTGTGAGCTGCTGGCATTAAAGTTGTGAGCAAGCTATTTGGCTAACTGCGTAAATTAGTTTGCTCTGGAGCCATCCTTCCTGAGCTAAGGCAAGAATGTGTGAGCTGGAGGCTAAAAAACTGTGAGCTAGCTCACACTAACTCAGCTTAGAGGGAACACTAGCCACAGGCATAGGTAGCTTTAAATAGATTCATGGAGGAGGGGTCTATCAGTGGCTACTGACCATGGTGACAGTGGGCCTCTGAATCCGAGAGCCAGGAGGTAACCTCAGCCTCTGTGCCCTGTTGTTGGCACTCCAGAGGAACTGGTTGGCCACTGAGTGAGACGGGATGCTGGACTAGATGGACTGCTGGTCTGATCCGGCAGGGCTCTTCTTATGTTCTTATGGCTGCTGTTAGACTTGCCCACTGAATGTGCCTTTTATAAGAGCTGCCATGCTGGGTCAAATGCAGCAAAACGGAAAGAAAAAAAAAAGGAATTGTGCAAAAACGTTTAAATAAACCTGCTTAGACTTTAGGGTGCAACTGGGCTCCTTTTTCTGTTTCCCGTCTCCGGTGAATTTCTGCTTTTGCCTTTTAGGAAAGCAGATTTTGGATTTCTAGAGTTGCCATTCTCCATGATTGGGCAGCTCCTATCCTGGTACCTTTAACCTTTCTGAGTTTGGATCAGTATCTTGTCTGTATGCATATAAGTTCATACTCGTGAATGTTAGGGTGTGCACAGAACACAGTGTGCTTTATTCGACACATATAGCATATTTCAGTCCCAATAACCTTTATTGGCATACAATATAGCATATTATTAGAGAACCATGTCTCCCCCCCCCAATATATTTTTAACTAGAAAAAAGTCCAGCTTTGGTTTATAACTGTGAGACAGGCTGTTGCAGGTTAAGTTAATACAGCATACAATAAGCCGAGTAGACCCTTTAGCAATGCATAACAGGAAGAGGGTTTGGACAGTGATCTTTGGTATAAGAATAGGGGTATGAGAATAGGTATGTATTAGCTGTGATAGCTAAATGGATCCTCTCTGTACAGGGGTAGTATACCTTTGGGTTGTGCTGGCCATTATCATCATGTT